AACAACTTTTTAGCGCGTTTTTATTGTTCAGTTTTTTAATATATCTGAGTGTTTTTTTAAAATCTTTTTAATTCAGTGGTTTCAGCAAATAGCACTTAGTCCCGACTGAAACCCACTAGTAGCACAGAGGCTAACACAAGCTAACGAGGACATGGAAAGTGACAATGAAATTGGCTCAAACATGCACAATATTAGTCGCCTCACCTTGGAGCTCCGTGAGAGCGACCGTGCCACCATTGCAGATCTACGAAAAGAAGTCCTTCGTCTCACCGCAGAGTTGAATGAGAAACAATCTCTAGTATCCAAACTTTTTGAAGTCGCTGGTGGGCAGCATTCACGGCTGATGTCACTGAGCGCTGCATATTGTGACACTGTCGTGTGGGAGAGATCCGTCAGCTCCGGACCCTCCTGTTCTACACCTAAGCGCCCGCTTACGAATAACGAGCCCGCGGATTCCGAGGAGCCATCCTGCGCCGTGGCCCATGTCCTGAGTCTGGCAAACCGCTATGCAGCCCTCTCCACCGACATCCCGGCCCCCTCAGCAGAACCTCTGGACACTGCAGCAAACTCTACTGCTCGAGGATCCAAGTCCACTACGAGGAAAACGCTCCTAAAGGAAGCAGTCCTCAGGCGAAAGAGCGGTCCACCAGCCATGTTGACCCCAGTGCAGCAGCCTCAGACTGGGGTAGCGAGCCATCATCACCACCGCTCACCTCCACCGGGTCAGCAGCAGCGTCCAGAGCCAGCCCCTCTCACCGCTCCAGCGTCCCCGAGCACACAGCGTGGGTCGCCTGTAGCTGAGAGTCAGCACCCCCGCTCCTCCTCTCCATGTGTTCAGCGGCGCTCAGGCTCGGGTCCTGCTTCGGGTGAACCCGCTGGTTCCGTCCACCGAGCTCCTTCTCCGAGGCCACTCTTCGCCCCGACCACTCTGATTATTGGAGATTCCATCGTGAGACACGTCCGCTTCTTCAACGCGGTCACTCGCTGTATTCCCGGAGCTACTGTACCAGACCTGCTCATACGTCTCCCTCCTCTGCTTCAGTCCCTGCCTGATACCGTTTCCAAGGTAGTCGTGCATGTGGGAATTAACGACATGAAACTTCAGCAGTCAGAAGTCACTAAGAAACATTTTATGGATCTGTTCCACCTCCTTCAATCCTCCGGACTATCTGTTTTTATTTCTGGTCCAATCCAGACTGTAAACAGAGGTGACTGCCTCTACAGTCGTGTTGTGGCGCTGCATGTGTGGCTTCAGGCTACATGCAGCTCTTTTAACTTTGTCTTTGTGAATAACTTTGCCCTTTTCTGGAAACGTAACGAAGCCTATCGTCCAGACGGATTACACCCAAACAGATACGGTAGCAGCCTGTTGATGGATTACATACGTTATGTTGTTCAGTGCTCCCCGAGGGGGGCGTGACTGTTTACATCTGAGCCCCCTCGGACCCCACCGCACTCCCCCGCCTCCTGCTCACCAGCACCGGGTGAGTACAACGGTGCAAACACTGCTCCCTGTCCGTCTGGCAGTGCATTACCAGTCCAAACACTGAACTGTGCTGACTCCCTTCTGACTCTGGGAGCTAAAAACAAGGGTTTTCACATTTTAGGCCAATTGAGACTGTGTGTGTTCCTCGCACCAGCTCAAAAATGTTTTTAAATTCTAAAAAACGAAATCAAAACAGGACAGCAGTTAGACGGTCCAACCCTGCAAATCTAATTTCTGTTCCCTGTAGAAATCAATCAACCACATTAATCGACTCTGACGTTATTTTTAAACTTGCTATGCTTAATGTCAGATCTCTATGTAACAAATCATTTTTAATTAATAATTTTATCACTTCTTATGATCTTGATTTTATGCTTATGGCTGAAACATGGCTGGACCAAAATACAGGAAATGCAGTTCTAATAGAAGCAACACCACCCAATTTTAAATTCGAATCCGAAATACGAGAAAACAAAAGGGGGGGAGGCATAGCTGCAGTTTTTAGAGAGCACTTTGTCTCCCATAGAATGCCCCTTGGAAATTTTTCATCGTTTGAGTATATTTCTTTTAAAATGGAACAAAAGCAATCTTCTACTCTTTTCATTGTCCTGTACAGGCCACCACAGTCATGTTGCGATTTTATTGACCATTTTACTGAACTACTTTCATTCGTGTGCACAGATTTTGATAGTTTAGTTATTACAGGTGATTTTAATGTACATGTTGATAATGTTGATGACAGAAATGCAAAGGAGCTGGCTTCTGTATTTGAGACCTTTGGTTTCATTCAGCACGTGAGTGGCCCCACCCACAGCAGGGGGCACACTCTTGACCTGCTAATTACAAAGGGGGTTAATGTATCAAATGTTAATGTAGTTGATGTTGCTTTGTCAGATCATTTCTGTGTATTTTTTGACATGTGTTTTGCTAGCAAACCACCAGCTGAATTTACAACTGTTAGAAGAAGACACATACATGAAAACACAAGTGAACTGTTCATGGGAATGCTAAATTTTGAGAAAACTCCATGCTCTACTGTTGATGAATTGTATAACTCTGTCACCACCAGTGTTCTGACTGTTCTGGACGCCATTGCTCCTGTGACGGTTAAAATAGTTACCAGTAAGAAAAAGGCCCCATGGACTAAGGCAGACTCGGTTAGGGCACAGAAGCAAGAGTGCCGGAGGGCCGAACGGAAGTGGCGAAAGTCCAATTTCCAGGGCGATTATGAAATCTTTAAAGATGAGTTGGGTGAATTTAACCGGGTTCTACGTAGAACAAGAGAAATGTATTTTTCTGACATTATTGGAGGTTGCAGTAACAATTTTCGTGTTATGTTTTCAACAGTTGGTAGATTAACGAACCCCCCTGTAAAGTTGCCCCTAGAATTTTCCTCTAAATCTAGGTGTAATGAGTTCGCACAGTTTTTCGATGACAAAGTACAAGGAATCAAAAACACTATCACCTCCACAGCACGTATAACAATGCAACAGCCAGAGAAGCTTTCTGAGCTAACTCACTTTGCACCTGTGGATACTGAAACTGTCAAAAAGATAATCATGAGTCTGAGCTCCTCCACATGTAGCCTGGATATATTGCCCTCTAAATTTCTGAAGTCCGTCCTGAGCAGTTTGTTACCTTCACTGACACAAATAGTAAACATGTCTCTGTCGTCAGGAACATTTCCTATGGCCCTAAAAACAGCAGTCATAAGACCTCTCCTAAAAAAGAGCAGTCTGGATCCTGCGGGACTTCAAAATTATCGCCCCATATCGAATCTGCCGTTTATTGGAAAAATTCTTGAAAAAGTGGCCTCCCAACAACTTACTGAATTTTTAACAATGAATAATTCTTTTGATATGTTCCAGTCTGGGTTTAGACCCCACCACAGCACTGAGACCGCTCTAGTGAAGGTAACAAACGACATTCGACTTCACACTGATGCAGGTAAAGTCACAGTTTTGGTCATGTTGGATCTTAGTGCCGCGTTCGACACTGTCGACCATGAGATCCTCATGCAGAGACTGGAGGACTGGGCTGGTGTCACTGGCACAGCCCTAGACTGGTTTAGGTCTTACCTGGAGGATAGGAAGTACTCTGTGGAGATTGGAGACTGCGTCTCAGATGATGTGGCCCTGACCTGTGGTGTACCACAGGGGTCGATCCTGGGACCTCTCCTATTTAATCTCTACATGCTGCCGTTAGGTCAGTTAATACAAAGAAACAAAGTGTCCTACCACAATTACGCTGACGACACTCAGATCTATGTCTCACTGACTGCAGGAGAACATGGACCACTGGATTTGCTCCTTCACTGTATCCAACAGATCAGTGACTGGATGCAAAATAATTTCCTCCAGCTAAATACAGACAAAACCGAAATCATTGTCTTTGGTCCCCAGAAACAAAGAGAGGGCGTCATTTGTCAACTTCAGTCTCTCTCTCTACTTCCTTCAGACAAGGTCAGAAATTTGGGGGTAATACTGGACTCAGACCTAAATTTCAATAGCCACATAAAATCAATAACATCAACAGCTTTTTACCATCTGAAGAACATTGCCAAAGTTAGAAATATAGTGTCCAGGGCAGACTTGGAGATTCTTGTCCATGCATTTGTCTCCAGCAGGCTAGACTACTGCAATGGCCTGCTTACAGGTCTGTCCAAACAGACCTGTAAGCAGCTGCAGTACATCCAAAATGCAGCAGCTAGAGTCCTGACAGGAACCAGGAAGTATGACCATATTAGTCCGGTCCTCAGGTCTCTGCACTGGCTTCCTGTGGCTCAAAGAATAGATTTTAAAACGGCTCTGCTTGTGTACAAGTCTCTCCATGGCCTTGCACCAGAATACATTAGTGACATGTTGGTGTCATATGAACCAGCCCGGACTCTGAGGAGCACAGGGACTGGCCTCCTGCTGGTGCCCAGAGTGAGAACCAAACATGGGGAGGCTGCGTTTCAGATCCATGCAGCTAAGATCTGGAACAATCTCCCTGAAAATGTGAGGGAGGCGTCTACTCTGTCAATGTTCAAATCCAGGTTAAAGACTGTTCTGTTTGCCTGTGCATACAACTGAAGGATTTTATCTCCATTTTTAATGCACTGCTGTCATTTATTTATTTATTTAAATTTCTTGTGTAATTTTGAAAGTTTTAATGGTTTTATTCTTTTGTGTGATTTTAATGTTTTAATTGTGTTTTAATCTTTTGTGTGATTTTAATGTTTTAATTGTGATTCTGGTGTTTGTTTTATGTGATGATTTGTGATGTGGACTGTGAAGCGCTTTGTGTTGCCATGTGTATGAAAGGCGCTCTACAAATAAACTTTGATTGATTGATTGATTGATAATATGCTGCAGGAGCTACAAGTCTGTAGTTGTCGGACATGGCTGTGTTATGAGCATTGTCATTTATCACAGTAAGTAACTGCACAGTCATGTGCTGTTACTTGTGCTGTGGTGTGTGTGTGTGTGGTGTGTGTATTTGTGTGTGTGTGTATTTGTTTGCACCCACTCACCAGGTTGTGAATGACGTTGGTGAGGGTCCAGACGAGGGGCACGGTGATGAAGGGGATGCTGAGAAGGACGATGTGCAGAACCACTGTGAGGAGCAGGTATGTGAGCCAGATGCCGCGACTATTCATCACCCGAGTGTTTGGGTTCACCTCGCTGTGAGCCACGCCAACATTCATCTACAGGAAAATAAATGAAATAAAGTTTAAATACTGTGCCACACTGTAGAATCTGTATTCAGTCATTCTACATTGGGTCATTGTGAGCTACTTCTTTAACCGTAGCCAGCATAGAGCAACCTAAAAAGAACTGAGCAAAGTCAAGGCCAGACTAAAGCTGAAAGACATATTGGTATCGTATCGTTATTGAGATATGAACATTATTTATTTTGAAAAAGCAACTAAATCAACAATATAGATTTTGACAGCTGAAGCCAACCAATTACCACTGAGCCAGTAATTATAACGTATACATTTTTCGATACAGTTTAAATCAATTCCAGACCACGTGCAACCAGGTCAGGTCCAGCTTCATAGTAAAAAGTTAAAATTAGAAAAATGCATACTATGGATCGTAGTAGAAGGGCCAGTCACCAAACATGTCTCCAAGAGAATGTATGCCTTTTTCATATTATACAACATTTATTTAAAAAAATGTTTTCAAAATAAGAGAAAAGGAATTGTGTAACCACATGTTTTCTTATAAGATTACCAGGCATTAAAAGCGACAGAATCGGGCCAAAATGGGTACAACATGTGCAAATAATACCGTTCAAATCTAGGGGATGTTCACTTGAAGATCACCAAGCCACATTGACTGAAATATCTCTTATTTTGCAATGGAAATTGCACCATAAAACAAAGAAAATGCATAAGGAGTCACACATTTTATACTGACCCAATAAACATTTGTAAAGGGATGGGATCATTTAAGCGAGACATTTTTATTTTCATGCTTACTGTTGCTTGTGTTATTATTTGGGATAGAGAAAAGCCATAACCAATAGAGAACAGTTAATGTTACAAACCATGCTAGTTTTCGTAGAGTTTGCGCAGTATGCTAACTCCAGCCTACGGTCTGAGCTCTGGGCTAGTCTGGGTTTAGTTTAGATTTGGAATACAAAACATGGCTGTAGGCTACATGCTAACTCATTTAGCAACTTTTCTTAATGCTTATGTAATTTTATATTCCGATAAAACGGTTTATTGATAGATTATTGACTGGAAAATGACAACAGAAGAAACTTTACCTTCCCCTGATCTCGTTACCGACAGGAAATTCCTTATTTTTTCTAACTCCGCCTTTGTTTGACACAAGCGGCTTCCTGTAGTTTTGTTGTCAACAAACAAATGAATAGACGAGCTAGATTGACTGACGTGACGACGATGATGAGTAATTATGATTATATTATAGAGTTTTATTTGCCAATTTCCTTGAAAGCGTAGTTCATAAATCTATTTGGTTTAGTCCGTGTTTGGGCCACACTCATAGACTGTCACACTGCACTGAGTATTTTTGTTGATTTTATTTTTTTAGTTAAGTAGGTTACTATCAAACCTGTGAAAATTGGCTGCATCTTTTTAATGCTGTTTGGATACGTAAACTCTTTGCTACTTTTGGTATTTGGTATTCTTTGTATAGAATAGATGAATGGAGTGAACAAACAATGCCCTTAAATTGTAGGAACAGTTCTGTGAAAAGCGCTTTATAAATAATAAGGATGGGAATAAAGTGAGATTTCGTGTTAATTGTCTCTTTCATCATCAATTTTGGAGGAAAAAGTATTCACTGTTTATTTTCAGAAAGGTATCACCGACATTTTGGCCACATAATGTTTATGTACTTATGTATACTACATTGTGAACATTTTGTGATGTGATCAATGACTTGTCTGATGTTGCCATGGAGATGGTATTGCTTTGCTGGGAATGTACCGTACGGTATAAAACAATAAATTACAAATGTCAACAGTTCTTTCATTGGGTTGACCTGCCTCTATGCAGATATAACCTGTAACTTGTTTTTCTCCACTTGATGGGGTTTAATTCCATACGTCAAACATTCAATTCAAACACTTTGTAGTGGATTCCTCCACCAGGAGGGATCACCAGTTTGTCCAGTCCTTAAGAAAGATGACTTGCTTTTCCACTTGATTTTGTGGTTTTCCAAGGGTCGAACCAAACTTATCCAGCGCCACGGTAGATGGGAGCTATCTTTTTTTTGTCTTGGTACAAAACCATGTGAAGGTTGTGAATCTCATGTCGTTTATGCTGTATACCAAAAAAATGAAATCTTCCATGCCACTTGGACAAAGAAATATTCCACTCAAGACTTTCAGAATTCAGGAATAACACAAAATATACTTTATTTCCAACGTTTCCTTGTCATTTCACTTTTATGATTATTATTATTTGGATGTGAATACAGTTCTGGTGTTGGTCAGAGGGTCTGTTTTGGTGCTGTTGTGTTTATTTGACCATTTGTCCCCATCACCAAAATCCCAATAGGTCAGTAGGCCAAGTACAACCGTATTGGAAATGACAGATAGACAATGCTGAAACAAGATTATTGTCCTGAAGATTGAGAAAGGGAAGTGATGAACCACAGCTTTACCCAAGAGCTGCTCACTGAGAAAGGCATTATTCACTGACCAATTGTGGTCAGTGCATTTTGACTCGGCCACGATGTGATTGGTATAAAAACAAAGACTCCATGGACACCTTGCTGAAACAGCAAGGAAACAATTAGCTTACAGTGTGACTGTTTCATCCCCTTATATACATAAATTAAGACTGAAGGATTTTGCTTCCCACAAAACACCTGCGACCTGATGAGCTCTTCAGCAGAACCTTGGGTGGTTTAATTTAATTTGGTGCTAAAGACAGAGCTATAAACACAACATAGGCCAATGGATTATTATAAATCATATGGAAGTAAGAAGAAAATGATGTCATTTGAAAGCATTGGCAATGATAACACTTCCTTGTTGAACAAGAGTTTGTGATGAGCTCTTTTTCTACACCTTCTAGTTTTGAGCTGACCTCATCAGCATGAGGAACTACTCGACTTTTACTATACTGAAACACAGCAGGAAGTACCTGGGAAGTGGTGAAGAGCGGGAAGAATGTTTGAGGAAAGCACAGCTTCCACCTGACGTATGTATACATACTAAGATATGGTGATTTTGGAATTTCATAGACAAGATGAGGGAACAATCAGAACAGGAAACACTTGTTTTTTCAGGAATCTGCTTCCACAATTTATTTAAAACTTTTTAATTAAAGACAATTGTAAGTAATAGACTAATATAATCAAACAGTAGAAATTTAAATATAATAATAATAAATACATAATAAATATTAGTAGATAGGAAAAACTCTTCTGTTTCACAGTTTTTGCAATCCAATGGGCTGCATTGGGGATTTTGATCAATATGATCAATTGACAACTAAGCTATTACACCTTAGTTTTGCAGAGCACATTTGGGAGTGTCTGCATACTCTGTTGAATCTGCATGGTTGGCTGGATCTCCAACTGAAAAGACCCTGGCCGTGAGAATGGAGAAGGAGAAGAGGCGTTCCATGGTGTATTTACATAATAGCTCCATCGTCCAGTTATCGAAGCCCTGGAACTTTCTTTCACTGATGTGATCCTTTAAATGGAGAAGTCTGTTAGTGACATGCACATTATGTTTATATGAGCAGAGCAGAGTGTTGGGTCACCTCGTGGTGATTGTACTCAGTCCTGGATTTGACACATCTACTCATGTCTTCATGCAGCTGCAACAGCACTGGATTCATTTGATGGGCGACAGGGCAACTTGTAAACTCAGACAAGGACTTCACAAAAGACTGGTAGCTTGTTAGAACATTAAGCATCTTGTTGATACAACGCTGAAGGAAAACACACAAAACATTGTAACCATATAGTCAGAATGTGTAGTCTTTCCATGCAATTTACTGAAAAAAATATTTGAGAATATTTTCAATACCTTGATTAATTTGTATTTCTTATTTAGATGCAGTAAAACTATAGTGCAGTGAACCAACAGTTGTTTAGTGTTTGTTTTACGCAGAGCTGTTTCTACGTGGAGCTCATTCAAAACATGTAACTTCGTGGACAAACTCCTTATCTCTTTTAAAATGCAAATCATAGTTTTGTCTAAAATCTATATATTTAATAGGCATTTATGGTTATTGAGTAAAAATTAACGGAATACTTACTTCGGGATTAAGTCTAAGAGTCCCAGGGTCGCACTGGTCCTGGCCTTCCATCCAGCCAATTGACGTGGTGAAGTTTTTTATGCCTTTGGGTCCACTTTGAACCTGAAAATAAAATTACAATACAACCAAAAGGGTTACTGTATGCAGAGGGAAAGCATAAAGCCTTCTTACAAATAACTCTACAAGTGTATATATGACAATAAAAAAAATGTCTTACCACAGTTTTAGCCATTTGGTTGAACAGCAGCACGCTATTACGCACGTCTGCGCAAACATCTTGTTGACTGTGTCCGGTCGGTGCACCACTTGCAAAAACAAAAAGCAGAAAAAACGAATAAAAACCAATCACAGAAAACGCCATGTTGATGGTGGGTTCGTGTGTAGTGTGTGATTGAGCTCAAGTGTTGGAGTGCGCTGATGAGTGGCTGGTATAGGTGAGTGCGCTGCGTTTTAAAGGGTACTGTATGACTCACCAGGGTTTTTCTCCATCACGTTAACTGCCCTTGGCCGGGATTTGTGTATGAGCAATAAAAAACTTGGGAAATATAAGCAAGCTTTTACCCATTAGGAATGGACCTGGAAAAGTCAATAATGAAAGCATTTCGGAATTTATTTTAATTGTAGCCTCATCGGGCATTGCAATGACATTATTCGTTAAAACGCGCGGCTCAAACCATACCTCTTGTTAAATGTTGATTCAAAACGTTTTCAAACCAAATCCCACATTCGTTTGGCTAATTAGAACGTGCAGGAGAAAGAAACTCAATACCTCTAAACAATTACACATTAAGTGATGATTGAATGAACGAAACATGTGTTGCCCCAAATGATTTGTCTAGCATGAGAACAGATAAAAAAACTATAAATACATGGCAAGGCTTTTCACCAAAGTGTGCATTGCTGTGAAAAAACCTTTCATTTAGCTATTAAATGTTGTCCTGATGGTCACAAATTTGAAAAAGTTGAACATCTAAGCTCTTAGAGAGAAACAAAATAAAACCATTTGCAACAAATGCCGTGATGGTAGATGCACCTGTTTTTTTGTATTCAGGAGCATCGTCATTATTTGTTCAAATTAGTTCAAATTAAAAACATTCACAAAGAGCAAGATTCGAGATAAACATATACACCGGAATGATACATTGGACTCCTGCATATGGACCTAATAGATCTATGATATGGACGAGAGAATAATCCGTGATGGTTGTTTTACAACTGCTGCTATGGTCAGGAGTTAATAGTTGTTTATTTATATAGTTTTATTTTGTTTGACATAAGTGTATACAGTATTTACAGATTAATATATACAAGTTTATTCGTATTGAACATATCGCTGTGCGCGCATTACGCACATGACGCACTGGTCCCAACCCGGAAGTGCTTGTGCAGCCGCGGTGTTTTTGTTGTGAATGGCTCGAACATGGCTGAACTCGACTGTCTATGGGCTAAACTAATGGTTAAATTGTTAAACTAGAGTGAAGGCAGGGAAAAGGACATGCACCTGGCTTTGTGGTAATTTTTTTTCAAGGCCTGCACTTGTGTTAACTTTCAGGCGTTTGTTGATTTGTGGCAGGAAGCAAAATGCTGCTCTTTGCTTTTACTGCTTTCTAGCATTTGGCTATCTGGAATGTTGATTATTTGTGAAGCAAATACATAAACAAGATGAGAGTCTAATGTAGAATGTTTATCATTGTTTTCACCGTCGTGTGTATTCACAAGCATTGTGTTATTCGAAGCAATATTCTTTAAAGGCGCATTCTGTTAAGAGGGGTCCGTCCGGGTACGGATGATTTATTTCTTTATTACAATATTCTACAATCTAGTAGTAGGAATTGTCTTTCCTTAAACATATTTTCCTTGCTGGAGCATGGCTAAACCTGCATTCTTTCTATGGCGCAAGGTGTTCCCTCTACACACATGTAACGGGTTTTATGTTGTTATACACATGTCTTCATTAATTTTAACCATTAGTGATTCCTGCATGTTTGAGTCATATTTTATCTTGTGGCATCACTCTGGTTTTCATCTCCGTCTGCACTTTGTTGTGATACAGTGAGGGAATTTCCTTTGAGATGGCTGTAGACATACCTCATTGTGATTTGTGTAGCTACCAAGCTTTGCAATGGCGATTTAATTTGCAAAATTAGTTACAATTAGTTAAAATTAAAAACATACACAAAAGCAAGATTTAAACAAATAATCATGCTTGTTTTATGATCATTGTCCCTTTGTCATGCATTATTTGTGATGATGTTTTTTAGATTGAATTAAATTAATCATGATGAACTTTGACGGGCTGGATCCTGGGCTGGGTGAATATCCGGCTGCCCTCCATGGAGCGCTGGAGGCGGGGATAGAGCCATCCATGGATCCCCATCTGAACCCCAACCTGATGGGGCCTGGCGTTGAGCTGGACCCAGAGGCGCTGGCTGGGGCCGTACCTGAGACAGTGCACCTGATGGAGGGCATGTTCTCAGAGCTCCACAGCGCAGTGTCAGAAGTGGGCATTCCTGTGACCGCCACACATTTTGATCTGCAGGAGGAGATGCTTTGGATGGGCAATCACAGAGTAAGCACTCACTTTATAGGACCACCATGACTGTCTTTCTGTGATCTGTCTGAATTGAAATATTTTTCCTTTATCAAAATGAAAGGAATTTTATTGAAAGTGGTTTGAGAAGTCAAAACCTGTTGTGACTCAAGTCACAACTGCATTTTGTATGCTAAAATCTGACATGGTCTTGAAGATTGAGACAGGTTTCTACTCTGACAATGTTCAAATACAGGTTAAAAATAGCTCTGTTTAGCTGCGCGTACAACTGTAGGTTATCAGCACTCATCTTTTCAATGTACTTTGATTAATTGAGTTTGTATTGTGATTCTTGTTTTCTTGAAAGTGAGCAGTAATTGAGTGCATGTTTACATTGACATATTTTTACAGGGTCATGCCACGTCTTTCTTTGGTCCTACAATGGGGCGATACTCGTCTTTTCAAGTGCATGCAACAGACGATATCCGTCACATTCAAAGCCTAGAGACTGGAGTGCTGTTTCTGTCCAAAAATGACCTGAAATGCTGCACCCGAGGAGGCATAGTTATGTTTGATTATCCGTAAGTATCAAAATACATCCCCATCATAATAACCCAAAAAGTATTAATTAATTCGTTTAATTAATAATTACTATTATTATTCAAATATAACGATTAATTATTAATTACTAACATAAGTAAACATCCAGATTGTTGATTTACATAAAGCTAGTAATGTAGGGACAACCAAATGGCACTGGAAATTTGACAATGTGCTTGAAAAAGGTTTTTCAATGTTGCTTTGTTTTGGCCACAGTAAAAGAAAGTGATAATATTAAAATTATAATGTTTCTTCTTACGATAAACCATACATGTTATATACAGTATGTTGTCATTCTTGGTGCAAAGTTTGTCTGCTGTCAATTTTAGTATTTCACTTTCAGGATGGAGGAGGGGGCAGACATGCACAGTCTCCTCATGACAGACAACAATTCTGTTCTTATGGGTGGACTGCAGAACTACGTAGTTCAAGTTGATTTAAATTCAGTTCAAGAGACGCAAAAGGTGAAATAAAAATAGTTATTTCAACTAACTGGCTCTTTCATTCAAAAAATGTACTGTTTCTGATATTGACAGTTCACTGTTGAGGTCCCTGGGGTTGCGATAATGAGACAAACGGGTCGGTTCTTTTTCTGTGGACACACTTCTGGAAAGGTAGGGGATGTTCAAATTGCTAATTTTCTAGGCGTTGCTAGATTTGTTTAATATTAATATTAATTGCTTACCGCTGCTGTGATCTATTATGCCCTCTCTACCCTTACCTCTTACCTCTCTACCCTTACCTCTCTTTCTGACTGTTGCACCGAGCCAAAGCAATTTCCAACTCTGTGACTTCCTGTTACTTACGTGGCAATAAAAAATATTCTGATTCTGATCATTACTCTCATGATCTTCATTTATGGTCCAAACATCCATCCATCCATTTTCTTCCCTTTAATCCATTTCTGGGTCAGGGGGGTGGCAGTCAGAGATGCCACCCAAGTCTCATAGCACCAGCCTCTCACTGACCCTCTGCAGGTGGTGAGTCCACAGGAGGACGGCTGCTCTCTGAGTGTGAGCATAGCCTTGATCTTTCAGTCCAAACATGTTTTGTGCTAAACAAAAATCTGAGATTCACTACATTTAAAATGTAAAATGTTCGGCTTAGACTTTTGTCTCTCATGCAGAAGAGGTTGCATATGCATCTTCATTGTTCTCGTAAGATGGCAATCAATAATGCACATATAATGTTAACGTGTTTTTGTCTTCATCTGTATTGATAACTGCTTTGTGTAAACTCAGGTCACGCTTCGAGATCTGCGCAGCTTCAAGACGGAGCACGAGTTTGACGCCTTCTCTGGGAGCCTCTCCGATTTTGACGTGCACGGGAATCTGCTGGCCGCATGTGGCTTTTCCAGCCGTGGCATGAACGGTTTGGCCTGTGACCGTTTCCTCATGGTGTTCGACCTGCGGATGATGCGAGCCGTGACCCCGCTGCAGGTTCACATCGACCCCCTGTTCCTGCGCTTCATCCCCACATACACATCCCGTTTGGCCATCATCTCGCAGACGGGTACGGGCACTGCTGTTACTGGTGTATTGTTACAAAAAGGAGCACTCTAAATGAAGTTTTCCAATTCTAACGTTTTTCTCTGGTGCGTTTAGGCCAGTGCCAGTTCTGCGAGCCCACTGGTTTGGCTAACGTGGCTGACATTTTCCATGTGAACACGGTGGGGCAGCTGCTCATGAGTTTCGATGTGTCGTCCAGTAAACAGGCGCTGGCCTTTGGAGACTCGGGGGGCTGCGTGCACCTCTGGTCTGATGCCCCCGAGGTCTCCTTCAACGATTATTCCAGAGAGACAGAGTTTGCGCTCCCGTGTATCGTGGACAGTCTGCCTCAGCTGGACTGGAACCATGACCTCCTACCTCTGTCTCTGATCCCAACACCCCTCACCTCTGCTGAGCCACTGATGTCGGACTGGCCCACCCACGCAACGCCCTGCCCAAGGTGAGAACCAGGGCCTCTCACTCTACTCTACACACATTCAAACCAGATACCGCTACAAATGTTTAATGAAGACAGCATTTCTTTGCAACATTATTTTAAATATTTCGAGTCATTTTATTTTAAGTCCGTATTCCAAATTAAGAATATTATTTACACTTACATCAAGATATCAATACATACACATTTTAATTTCTTTGTTACTGAGGAGAACAAAATGGAGTGGGACTTCTGAGTACTACTCCACTAGCCTATTATTTATTTTTTAGAAAGCATTACAGATCTGCCCCTTTGTTGTATGAAGTTAATATGGTCCTTAATGGGTAATACTCTGTTCGATAAATCATGCAAACCAAACAGGAGACCTGCCTGCGACTTGGGAAAAAAATAAGACGTCGGAAACTAACTGTATTAGTTCCTATATTTCTTCACAAACTGTGTCTTTAGTGTAAACACATTGTTTATGTTGAAATTAGCAGCAAAATCTACCAAAGAAGTCTCAGTCCTTCTTTTCTTTAAGGAGAATAGATTCATACTTTCCATATTAGTATCTGAAAATGTTTATTAGTATCACTGAATATGATTGTCCAATAGGGTATTAGCATTTTCAAATAATATGACTTGTTTGCAAAAGTGTGCATACATAAGATTCCTAAAACATGAGTGGTGAAAATAAGTGGAATATTTTCTAATGCACACGTTAGCACTGCCCTTTTAAACATTCTTCATTTTGAGATCAACATGTACATAGTCCCTCAGAGCTCTATTTGAACTAATACGTCATAAAGGAAAACCTGAGGAAAAACTTAGATTTTTCTGTAGTAATAATAACCAGGTTTCCTCCTAGATGTACACGACACAGTTGAGTGTTTGGAAATCGCAACCACTAACTAATTATCCTAAAAGCAGAAGTACAAATCTATTAGAGCATGTGTCAATTGGCCTTTCTATAGTAACCTGCGGTGACTGGACACTCAGGTCTGTCACATGGTACATATGCTGAATATGTATGGACCATATTCACAAGTTTCAGTTTCTAGCATGCGATATGTTGATGTCATGTTTGATTTGTTTTTATTTAATATGTTGGAGAACAGAAATATAAAATAAGATAAATGCAAGACAATATCCAAACTGCCAGAATCAATAGAATAATTTGGAGAAAAATATTCTCCAAATTATTGTTCTCCAAACATTTACTACACACTCAGGTGGTGTGCATAGTTTGGTATTTTACTGATTCTTATGCCTTGAAAAAAACTTTAAAAGCTGCTGTAAAAATGCACTGTGAGCATGTAAAGCTGTGACGCTACGTGGCATTTGGCAGAAATTGGATAGTGAGGCGTAAATTAAACATGAATAACTGCAAACTTCCTGATCCTGATTTCCAATAGTCTCCTTTCTGTTCTGACACTGCCTCATTCTTCATGCTTCTTCTTCTTCTTCTTCTTCCTGTCCGATGTGGCATCTTTTACACAGCAGCTCGAATGGAGAAGTCGGCCTCTACACATGACATCACTAAAACCACTGCTGACAAGTCAAGCGCTCATGTTCTGAGGGGCGTCGGTGTTTACTCGCAGGCAAAATAGGGGAACTCAAAACAATTATCGCCATTGCATTTCCGGAACTCAGACAATTAGAATATACTGTAGTTACAAAGTTATTTTATTTCAGTCATTCAATTTAAACCAATAAATGACTATAGGCTTATTACATGCACATTGACTTATGCCAAGTCTTTGGTATAATGAGTTTGCTTTGACCTCTCCAAAAAGGTGAATTATTACTCTAAAAAGTTTTGTTCCAGTGAACTCAGCTTTTACATCCAAGGCAAACTATGGTTCTACAGTGCAACAAGCTTTTTAGCGGATTTATAGGACTTACATAATTACATTTACTGAGACATTTTAGCAACTGATATATTTTGACAAAGCGTATCTATCTAGCCGATAATGTCCATGCAAATGCAAAGCTATTTATTTCATCTCTCATTACTCATATTGCACGACTGTGTGGGGCCATAAAGGCATTAAAAGTGATGGACAAAAGGCCTATTATATGAGATGACACTATTGTAATTGAATGAGCTTTGATTATAAGGGATAATGGAGTATTACTAAAACCACTCACATGAAATCTGATACAGGGTTTATTGAATGATTCTGATTGGCTGTAGTTCTCTTTTCTTTTGCGGCTTTACGTCATTCCTCCTGCTCCAAAGGAGAAGTCGGGCTCAACACATGAGCTCACTGTTTACAAAATACAATACAGCTGATTATTAGCATTTGCTGACAAGTAGAACGCAAGGGGATCCGTGTTTTCTCCATCTACGCTCCTGGCAAAAAAAGATGAAAGGATGACTCAGCCAAAGTTCCCCAGAGATGTTATTGCATTGCCAGGAGTGATGGCAGGATTATGTATAGAACTTTGTTTTCAAAAGCGTGGGTTCCTTCCAGATTCTAGTGGAAAACCTATAGATTCATTGAAAAATCTATGGCTGTAAATAATTTGACCCAAACAAAGTGATGCCGCTTGAAAGCATAGCAGAGTGATTTGTTTTAAATTTAGGCAAGGCAAGGCAAGGCAAGGCAAGGCAAGGCAAGGCAAGGCAAGGCAAGTTTATTTGTATAGCACAATTCATACACAAGGCAACTCAAAGTGCTGAACAAGATAGCATTAAAATCATAAATAATCACAGAACATTAAAAAGAAAGATAAAAATATAAAATCCCTCAGTTGTATGCACAGCTAAACAGCACAGTTTTTAACTTGGTTTTAAACATAGTCAGAGAGGAGGCCTGTCTCACATCTTCAGGAAGAATGTTCCAGATTTTAGCAGCATGAATCTGAAAAGCAGCCTCCCCATGTTTAGTTCTGACTCTGGGCACTAACAGGAGTCCAGTCCCTGTGCTCCTCAGAGTCCTGGCTGGTTCATATGGGACTAACATGTCACTAATATAAATATTTAGTGACATGTTAGTCTTTGTAAACAAATTTTCATTTCATTTTGCAGTCATTATAGAATAATCACAAAACCTCTTCTCGGAAGGTTCATCAAACGATTAATCAATTACGAAATTAGTTGAACTATTTTAATAATCATTTAATTGTGTTGGGCGGCACGGTGGCTGAGTGGATAGCACTCTCGCCTCTCAGCAAGAAGGTCCTGGGTTCGAATCCCGGCCGGACCAGGGCCTTTCTGAGTGGAGTTTGCATGTTCTCCCCGTGTCTGCGTAGGTTTCCTCCGGGTACTCCGGTTTCCCCTACCACTAAAAATATGTACAATATAGGTCTGGCATGCGCCTCCTGTTCGGCGACCCCGCTCCCATCTCTGTGTGGAGTGAGAGGACAAGTGCCCAAAAAATAACAATTGTAAACCGCTTTGTGACTCTGGTCTGTGAAAGGCGGTATATAAATAAAGCTTACTTACTTACTTACTTACTTACTTACTTACTGTTTGATGACTTGGTGCAGCCCTAGAATAATCCTTACAGTTCAAAACAAATGAGGATTCAATTCTTATTTTTTCATTCCACTATTTACCAGCATACCACTATGTACCATTACTACACACTTTATTTCCTGATATTTATCACTAATTAGCACTTTGAGGCTTGATATAAAATATAGTGCAAGACAATTACAAAATATTATTATTTATTATTGTTTTTTTTCTCAACTTTATTGGAATTGAAAACAGACGAGGCTTCATTGGATATTCTGCTAATCCGGTCACTTTGGTCGCATGTTTTTAATGCTCCAAAGTAAATACTAAACTCTGTGGAGAACGTTGGCATTCACTGCAGCTACAGAATGTATTACTTAGATTCCAAGGGAAAAATACAAGAATCCCCAACATGAGTTTTTGATGTGTACATGTGTTTTGTGAAAGATGAAAGTTACACTTTTAACTCATTGACTGCCAGCCCATTTCAAAACAGGTACTCCCATATTGCCAGCCGTTTCTGGTGGTTTTTACTGATTTTTCAAGACCCACAGAATATTGTGTACTTTGACTATCTGAAATCTAAAACTAGATTCTGAAAGAATGGGCTGTCTACTCTCACCAGCAAAAAGAATTTTGTTTCTATCTTGTTTAGTTCTTCTGTAATCCCCAGTTGAGTAGAGGGAAGTTTTATTGAAATCACCAGAAAGCTGAGAAAAAAGGGCCACAAACAGTGCATCTAGCTGTGTTCAAACCATTCATAGCGCAATGCTGCCATCTGCTGGCTCCATAAAGTATTGCCTCAAGCCAATCTCCACATATTAGATTCAATGGACAGCTGGGAACGTAAAAATAGCGGGAAACGCAATTGACGTGTTAACACGTCATTGGCAGACAACGTTACTATTTAGTTTGACGTGTTAACACATCAATGGCAGTCAATTGCTGATGGTTAACAATATGGTTGACACCGTGACCTTCACAACTTTCACCCACATTGTAGTAATCAAAAATAAACACATGAACTTTAATCCAGATGTTTATTATTATACTGTAACTGTTCAATTTTTGTTTTGTTTTGCAAATGCCAATTTACTAAAGACAAAGCTGACTCGTCTGCTTGAATGAATACAATACAATGTTTCTAACCGTTATCATGCCATGCCAGTCATGCCATGGATACAGTCATGCAAAACATTCATGTCTTTAAATTTGTTTTGATACGTTTTGACATAACTGCACTTATTCAGCATTTATTTTGTTGTGTGAAACGTCAAAGGAGAAATCAGTTGCAATGAAAGCAGAAATCGTCTGTTACAGATCGTCTGGGTTGTACTGGGTAAGTAAGTTTGGGAGTGGGGGTGCCAATACAGGAGGCACATGCCAGACCTATTGTACATATTTTTAGTGGTAGGGAAACCGGAGCACCCGGAGGAAACCTACGCAGACACGGGGAGAACATGCAAACTCCACTCAGAAAGTCCCTGGTCCAACCAGGATTCGAACCCAGGACCTTCTTGCTGAGAGGCGAGAGTGCTATCCACTCAGCCACCATGCCCAGGTGGCTGATAATAAATCTCCACTATTATACACCTATGTTTAAAATAAGAATGAATGTGCTTGGTCAATGGCTGTATTTTCTTTCAGACGCGCTCCTCCGGTGGATCCAGAGATACTGCGCACGATGAAGACTGTGGGCTTTATTGGATATGCTGCTAATCCACGTACTCGGCCTCGTAACCAGGTTGGAACTGTTCAAGAGAAGACAATCCCTGTATTTTAATGGAAAGCTTTTCTAAAAGCACAGACATTATGCAGTTCATTTGCCTAAATCCTCAACTCGAGTCATTTTAAATTGGGAGTAAATCAAACTATTCAAAAGATAAAACATCAAGTGTGATTGAAATGTTTGTAGTTTTGGAGACTTGGGCCCTATAGTCTCCTGTACTGGTTCCTGGGGATTTCTGTGGCTTTTCCTTCTAACAGTTGCAAATCTGGTTTGGATCCATAACTAGTTACATAGAATTCTTATTTATTCCCCTGATGTAGGAAAGTCCTCATTTCCTTTTGCGTTTCCTGTTTTTTAAAGTTAAGTGAGAAAATAAAGCATAATTTTGAATCCTGAGAAGTTACATATTTCCATATTTTAAGAGCTGAGTGTGATCCCTCTGAATGTTTTAGACCCTGAACCTGTGGAAGACTTCTGCACTTATTGTGATAAATATAAGATAACGGATTCAATGTAAAAAGTTCATTATATCTTCTTTCATATTTAAGGCTTAGATGGTTCTTTTATGAAGACATCATGTAAAGAATCTAGTTCTGCTAAATGACTTTACTAACATTTATGGAGGAGTAGTTAGATATGTCTTTACAAACATTCAAAAAGCTATTACAGAATGTCCTTTTTGTGCCTTTTCTGTGTTGGCTTCAGGTGCCATATAAGATCAAGGACGTGGAGCAGGAATACGACAGCTACAACCAGATTCCAGAGTCTCCGATCGGCCGCGATGAGGAACCCCACCTCTACATGGTCCCCAAGAAATTCAGAAAGGTGCTTTAGTTGCATTCATTCCTGTGTATATTGTATTTTCCCAGCACACGCACGTTGTAAAAGCAGCTGTTAGCGTCAAATAGAGATTCTGGATTTTTCTGCATTTATTTTGTTGCATTTAGCCTCCATGTGTCATACAGTAACTTTAATACACTTTTCAAGCTTTTCAAAGCTGAGTGGCAAAAAAGTACACACAGAACTTTATTAATACTTTTCGCATTAAAACCTGATATTCATTTGAACAATTATCTTGAAAAACAAACACATAAATACAACAGTTTGACCATTTCCGAATAGTTTTACAGTGATCTAGAAAATTAACATTTCTCATTGTATTGAGAGATGAAGAACCTAAAAATCATCTCCAAAACATGATCTTGGACTTTTCTGTCGGAAAAATATTATCTAAGGATGTGAGAGGCTATATGTAAATAAGTAAGTAAGTAAGGTTTATTTATTTAGTGCATTCTTACAGACCAAGATCAACCACAGCGCTTTACAATTGTTATATAAAATACATGGGAGTACAAAGATGCAATAAAGAACTATTAGATTTTAAAACATAGTTGTATTTTATTTGTAGTTTGAATGTTAGGAACCCCAGCTTTAAGTTATAGCCCTGTCTATTCTTTATTTTATTTATTCTTTATTTTTCATCAGGTCACAATCAAATACTCCAAACTTGGACTGGAGGATTTCGACTTCAAACACTACAACAGGACGCTCTTTGCTGGTCTGGAGCCGCACATCCCAAATGCCTACTGCAACTGCATGATTCAGGTGAGCTCATCCCAGCATGAATCTGCATGTGACATTTTCTAAGATACATTATTTTTTATACTGTTTTTTCCTACACAGTTATATTTACTTATGGTTCCTGATCTGTTGCATACATTTTGACGTTTTATTCAAAGGTTTAAGCAAAAATCACCTCTACACTTGTGATGTTTCTGTTCTGCAGGTGTTGTATTTCCTGGAGCCAATCCGCTGCCTGGTGCAGAACCACTTGTGTCAGAAGGAGTTCTGTTTGGCCTGTGAGCTCGGCTTCCTCTTCCACATGTTTGACTTGTCTCGAGGAGATCCCTGCCAGGTAAAAACAAGTGTAAGATGTGACAAAATGAACCTTTTTGAATCGAGGGTAAACTAATAGACCACACTGACTGCTGGAATGTAATGGTGCAATTGCCTCTTGCAAAGTGCTAGCGGTTTACCGTGTGATCCGTGATTTATCCTGAGGCTTCTTCCCACTGTGATCTTGTGTTTTTTTGGCATGTGTTCAAATGGCATGGCAACCCTGGACAACAGTGAGAATGCTTTTTGACCTGTGTCGGCTTTTTACCACAGGAAGACCGGAACGTGTCTGAATAATAATGTCAAAGCAAACTTCTAATTTTCAAAATAAGTCTTCTAAAGTCACAGAGAAGTGCATGCATATATATGATATAAATATATAATGGACTACTACAAGCTCATCATCCATGTGGAGCCAAATAAACATTCTTAAGGAGAGGAGAAAGGAGCAGAATGTGCCAAAGCCTAAACTTTTATATTAAATTAGCCTCACTTTTGTTACACGGCTTGTTGTGCTTTCATTATGCAAAGTATTGTCTTGTGTGACTTGTGTTTAGTTTAGTTTTATAACCTTCATCCGACCCTATAAAATGGGCTATAAAACAGTTTTATTGTTGTTGAAATTACAGCTTAATTATATCACAGTGAACCAGAGAAGGTTACAAGCCAGCTTGACGAGTCAACCAGTGTCGCTCAGTTTACATCAGGAAAGATTTTTTATTCTTACTTTTTTGTAATGTGTGCTGCCATTGCAATCCTTCATTTCTCCACTAGGGACGAAAAACTTCTCTTATCTTGAGAGGGGGTTGTGACCAAAACAGCGCTCTGTCCTGACGTCACAGAGACCAGCGCTCAAACAGCGCTCAAACAGTATTCCAAGCTATTGACACGGCTCCCAGTCATTTATTCACTGCCTACAGCCCCATTGCTCCACACCTCGGGATTTTGCACAGTTTATCAGTATTTTATACCACTCAAAGCATCGGCACAGCGCGCACTGGCTCTGCAGCAGCCCTCTCACCATTTTTCACCGGCAACTCCGCTCCGGGTCGCTCCGGACCATACGTAGACCGCTCAAAGCTTAGCGCTCAAAGACTATATATAGCGCTCAAAGCAAATATTAGATGCTCAAAGCAAATATTATATGCTCAAAGCATATATATGTGTGCTAAAAGCAAATATTATATGCTCACAGCATATATATGTGCGCTCAAAGCATATATATGTGTGCTCAAAGCATATATATGTGTGCTCAAAGCATATATATGTGTGCTCAAAGCATATATATGTGCGCTCAAAGCATATATATGTGTGCTCAAAGCATATATATGTGTGCTCAAAGCAAATATATGTGTGCTCAAAGCATATATATGTGTGCTCAAAGCATATATATGTGTGCTCAAAGCAAATATATGTGTGCTCAAAGCATATATATGTGTGCTCAAAGCATATATATGTGTGCTCAAAGCAAATATATGTGTGCTCAAAGCAAATATATGTGTGCTCAAAGCATATATATGTGTGCTCAAAGCATATATATGTGTGCTCAAAGCATATATATGTGTGCTCAAAGCATATATTATATGCACTCGAAGCATATATTATATGCTCGAAGCAAATATTATATGCTCAAAGCCTATATATATGTTCTCAAAGCAAATATTATATGCTCAAAACAAATATGTTCTCGAAGCAAATATTATATGCTCAAAGTTTATATATGTGTGCAAATGTGGTTTCATATTTATGCAAAATGACTCGAAGACCTTCTGGAGATGGGGCTGGTCGGCAATTGTCACCAACAGCAGGACGTTGCCTTTGTGGAAAAAGTCAGAGCAGGGACCATGAGCCATAATCCACACACACACAATTGCCTTGTTCTACTTTTTTTTTTTACTGCATTGACACAAATGCAGTAAAGTATACTACGGTCATGTGCAGTATACTGTAGTACTGTGATAAGTAAGTAATCTTTATTTATATACCATGTACAGCTTGTACATATACAACCTGTACAGATGTACAGTATACTGTATAGAGATGAGAACAAAAATAGTTCCAATGATGCTTCACAGAAATCTAACTGATAAACAGAATACAAACAGTGAAAATTAAAGACTGGAGTGTTTTATATAAAGTACTGTTTGTGTTGAAGAGTTTGAGTTTTGACAATAGAGTTTAATTTTGAGACAGATGTGTTTGGTTTATGTCCCAGTGTTGTGTGTAGAGTTTAATGAGTGATTAATGATCATGAGTGATTTTGCAAACTGTTTTCAAGCAATAGGAAAAAAAATGTAATAACTGCTTAATAAAGTCTACCACTGATCCAGTCTGTTAACGTACAGCTCACAGCATCATTATGACCATTATTATTGTTGTTGTGAGTAGTAGTACTACTACTACTAATGTCTCAAGGATACCACTCTCTTTTGTCAGTGTTTCTATATCAATAAATAGATCATATCAAATATAGGCCCAACCTAAGCCAATGTAGTTTATTAAAATGTTTTAAAACTCAACACAAATCCAACAAATTAAGAGCAACTCAGTCGTCTATTATTCGGCCAAGGGTCAATTCGGCTTGGAACCTTGTGAAGCCTTCCAATCTCATGAGGATATCAATTGTTACCTAAAGCAAACATTTTAGAAAAAAAATAAAGTCAGAAAAAAACATGGCAGACAAAGTTACAGGACAATGTAACTTATGAAACATAAATGTAAACATACTTCTGGCACCATAACGTCGATGATAAAATCCACATTTCTGATTTCCAAATAGTCCATTGCCAGTGCATTTTTTACTGTTTTTATTAACTCCTCAAGCTGCAAAATAAAACAATTTCATTGAGTGGGATGATAGCATGGTAATAATCAAATACAAATGAAACATGGCATACTGGTGTTTCACTAAAAATGGAAGGTCTTCCGTTCAAAATTTGCTTTAGTGACATGTTCCTCCCTGGATTGCGCCACAGGAACATTTGGTTTGATTTTCTTTTGTTTGAATCCAGTAAGGCTTTTACATCCTGTAAGAGGGACAGACGTCATATTCAAAACATAGGTGGCATTAGATTTAATTCCACAAACCTTTATTCTTTCATGGGAAACAAGTCCAGTAATGCCGTGGTCACGCAGACAAGTCAAAGTTCTAGTGTGAGAAGGGCTTTATTCAAGCATCTTTAACAAATATGTATTTAATCTTTTTTACATATATCACATACCTTGTGAACCTGTATGGCTCGGGGAGATCACATCCACAGGTGAACAAAGACGACTTGTACTCTTCACAAATAATTGCACAATCTTTGTGTAGCCAGCCATTGCATGTTTCACACTTGACCCAGTTCTCTTTACAGACCAGTGGATACAATGCTCTGTAGGAAAAAATAAACAGTAATTTCATTCTTACATGGAATGAGAGGGGCAATAAGAACTTTGCCTGACAATGCTCATAAGCCAGCAGCATCATACTTAAACATTTTTTTACTATTATTCTACTATAGTACAGAAATGTACAGAATAAGGACAGCAGTGCTAAATGGATGTGTCCTCTAGACCGTCATGAGACCGGTTTGTTTTACCCTCCTGAAGATGTGTTGTTACAATAGGAATCCAGTTCAGTCACGACCATTATGAAGCCTTTAATGCCACATGGCAAACACATTTTGGCAATAAGCCTTCATCAGGGCATTTATCTCAAGATAAATCAGCATAGCTGCCTCTGTTGATTTAGCTGGCAGGGGTCCCATGTCTCGTAAAGATAACTTACTTTACTTGTCCCTTTCCACTTCTGTCATAAAATATACAGGCATGTATGTCTTCGGCCATGCATGGTTCACGCACTTTTTCTCCCTTTAAAATAAAAAGTAATATATTTAATTCAACTACAGCTGATTAGACTGCCATAAAGCTCGGGATCATCATCACATCAGAATGGAATTTGGGACTTGCTGATACTATGTGATTTCTTTGATTTTCATTGGTTCCATTTTTATAAATTTTCCTGAGCTCTACAGCAGCCATCTTATAAATACTTATAAGAATATGTTACCTGATCAAGAGCATCAACAACTAGCCTGGAGGCATGGTACATTCTTAAATGACATAACTGTATTGTATTGAGAGGGTCATTGCCCATTTTGACACCACGAATATAAAGTTCTGCCGCCTGCCAAGAGTAATATACATTTATTAAAATACCTTGGATAGCAATATACTGGCTAGTATTCATCACAAAACACCTACAGTGCAAACAAAAACTCCACAGTTAACACTGTCCTTTTGTCTCCACTGAGGTGGGTAAAGGACAGCCCATTCCTCCAGATTCCACACATTTGCAAAACCTTGCCTGAAAGTGTCAAATGTTGAATTTTGGAAAACACACACACGCCAATAGCCAATTACTGTGAATAAGCATACAATAAACCTTAAGATCTGCATCTCTTGATCTGATATTCTGGTATGTTGTGCCAGTGAATCAAAGATGGAGATTTCTTTTGTAGAGCCATTAAATGCCTTTTCAGAAAAGATGATTGATTGTTAGATAACAGTTGCCTTTCAATACACAAGATGCCAAAAAGCTTTAAGAATTCACCCAGAGGATGAAATGATCTCCTGTCTCTGGGGTGGAATGGCCAACAATTGAGTCCTCCTTCAGTGTCTTTAATTGAGTAACACAATGTTAGTCACAGTTAAGAAGAGGTACATAGTCAAATCCAGCCTGACCTGTATACATTTTAGATGTCGTGAGCTGATGTCTTCCCCATTTATGGAGTTTCGCCACCAAGCTGTGTAGTTGTACGTTTTCAACGCAAACACCTATGAATTCAAAGCTAAATTACTCAATGAGTTAGTTAGTAAGAAAGTAAGTAATACATCTTTATTAAAAAAGCTTCAGATTAGATGGAAACATTACGTTTTCCTTCTGTTTTGCCAACTGAAGCACTCGTGCATTTACAACCTGTAACAATAACAGTGTTATTGATAATAATAGTCACACAATTTATCTGCCAAAAGCGA